GCCAGTAACCCTAAGGAAATCGGCGATGATATTGTCGGATCCTGCACCCATGTCTCTCTTCATGCCTTCTAGCATATATCAACTTAAAAAGGAATTTTGGGAAAGAAGAGTTTAGTATGCAACCTTTCCGCCGTTGTTTTCATATCATGGTTATGTGCTGGTGTTGCCATCTCTTTTCATAAGGGCTGAAAACTGACTTTGTGAACTTTTTATTTACTGCCTGTTACAATTTTCCTGACTTTGCAGTCACACAGAAACCGACGAAACTTCTTTGGACTAGATCAGTTTTGAGCTGCTTCAAATAGTTCATTCGGCTTTTGCCAAAGCAAATCTCTTGTAAGGATCATCTATAGATGACATTCTTTAGCAACCGTGATGGGCGTGTTATAGTTGTATAAAGCTTCAGTTTCAGTCACTTCTCGGACAACGACTTAATGGTAGTGGAGTTGCAACTTGGAATTCATTTTTTAGATACTGAACAAAATTTAGCACAAGTTTTAAGTTCTTCGACGACCAGCTCATAGTCTTCGGTCGCGTGCTCCTCGTTCTATCAGCCGTATAAAAAGAGGATTTCATCGATTTTCGCTGCGGATTGCTTTTCCTATTTGGCAGAACTGGTGGCTCTTAAAGAACATTTGAGATAAAGGAGGTAGTGCTAACGCTCCTACTCCTTGTTTTCCATTCTTGTATGACGTTTCCAGCTTAGCATTACATCAAAGTCGACCTTGAAACTCATGCAAAATAAATGCGATCATGAACAAGATTACCGCTCTATAAATCGATTCGGTTAGTAAGGTATTCGAATCTAATTTCCTTAAAAGAATTGGTTTTAAAATTCCTTTTTGCCATTGCAGAAGTGGTTAGTTGAGTCGATTTCCTAACAAAATGACCTTTCCAAGCTCTGAAGATGGCAAAAACTGCACGAATGTTAACCAATGTTGAATAAAGCTCCTATAAACAATCTGGTGCCTGCTCAAGAATGAGACTTGTGGGAACATTAAAGACTTAACTCTTTTATTTACTGCCTTTTTCTTCTTAATGGCANCAATGGAGAACGAACACGCGCTGTTGTCCTTACCGGGGAGCAGCGCACTTTGCAAATATCTCAGCATTTCATACGAGTTATATTTCGCAACATAACCTGCCATTAAGAAGAAAAAGGCAGTAAATAAAAGAGTTAAGATTGTGATTATAACTAAGCCTTAGCTTAACTGGGTTCAACGCCGATATTGGCTCCCCAGATCAACCCCGTTGACGGGTGATTGCTGATGGCAAAAAAGATCGATAGAACTAGCTGAGATACACGCATAGCGGAGGACCCGGATGGTGTAGTGGTGAAGTGCGCTGCTCCCCGGTAAGGACAACAGCGCGTGTTCGTTCTCCATTGCACACACCTGTGGTCCGAGGTTTTGCAAATATCTCAGCATTTCATACGAGTTATATTAAAGACTTAATTATTATGCAAGATTGTGCTACTCCACATTTTAGTGTTCTTATTCATAAATGGCTGAACGCCCATTCGTCCAGAATACGAGTGGGTCGTCGTGGTCAGCGCGTGTGGCCGCCGGCCAGAAACCCTGACTTTGCACGTTTCGACTTCTTACCTTTGGTGTTGGTTAAAGAAACGAGTCTACTCTACAAAATCAACAACTTTGCATGAATGAACTTGAAAGGCGATCTCAATATGTTACGCATCCCACCCCAAAAGAGATGGAGATGAAACCAATTGATGCAGCTCACAAGTTGCTTGAGAAGCTGGTGACCAACTCCGGACTCATATTTTGAAAAAAATTCCATGCCATTCGCCTTCCTTTCGTTTCATATTTTACATAAACTAGAAAGCAATATTAAGACTAGGTTCTGCGGTCTGCAAAGATTCAGAATTATTTCGTCAAGCGAGAACAACGAGGCTTCTGTTTTATTTGAGAATACTTGTAAATCCTAATGGGTTTTGTTGTGATGAATAGAATGCACTACAAATTGAGATGTTTGTTTAAAGTTGAAAGAAAAGTTTATTACTACTGTATCGGTGGAAACAGCATTACAATAGTCAATAAACCGTTAACAATTTTTTATCGACTTCAGGAAGGAACTCGCCATTGTTGTTAGAACTAAAAATTGTACGGTTATAATCCTTATCGATTTTCTAAAGCAGTGTCGAAAAAGTAGAATAAAGTTGAAAACATACGGAGTTAAAGCACACCTGCCAATATCTGATATTACGCCTTCGATCACGACGAGGCGTTGAAATTGGGTATTCTGGAGAGTCGTCGTCTCTCGGTAGAGCAACGCTAGACACGGATATAAACAAGATGCGTCACTGAAGTCTAACTAGTGCTAAATAATATCCACAAAATCTCCAGTTTTCTAAGGAAGTTTTTAGGAAGATTTGCATTTCATTTTGAAAATGAAGTATAAATCTCCTTAAAGACTTTCTAAGAATACTGGATATTTACGGTCAAACGCAAACAATTCCGATCACAGCATATAACATACTACGAAGGAAAACCCAGTGCTGATGAGCAAGCTGGACGTCTAGGTGTATCCAACTGCGCTGAGGATTTCGGAGCAGTATTACAACAGAATGGTTCATCATTACTTTCCGTTGGGTCCGGACTACTTTGGCAATGCTCGTCATTATGTTCCGTCAAAGTACGTCTCCTAAAGAAGAATAAGAACGAAAGAATAAGAAGATCGACCAGCACAGAAAAAACTAAAATTTAGCAATGATGAATATTTCACCTCTTTTTCTCCCTCTCATAACCGCAATCACCCGAACAGTCGTCTGGCTCTCGTCGTTTATAGGTATCCACAAGATAGCGTACTTGTTCCAACTAAAAATCATCTGCACACAATAAAACGAGGTAAACAAGACGCTTCATATCTGAATTTGAAAAATTTACAAAACCTATGGAAAGTTCTCCGCAGTCTAGAAAGAATTAACATCAAAAGAAAGTTAACACAAGCGTTTTCAGTGTGTGATATGAGAAAGAAACTGATGTAATCAAAACTGTTAGAAAAACAAACGTAGCCGGAATGAAGAAGAATTATGTGGACACAGAATGAAAGTTATATTATGCAGTCATCCCCACGAACGATCCCCACAAAAACGTGAACAGAAGAAAGCGGAAATACCAAGGTAAGCATAGAATGTGCCATTTTCTATGAGGTTGGGACACATGAAATGTCCGATCCTATGGCATTGATTTCCGTGCAATTTTTTAAATAAAAATTCTGTTTTTGATGTATGTTTAATACGAATTTTTACAGCAAAAAGTCTATTCCTTTATATCTAATATTGGCTGTTTTCAGTGGTCGCGGGCGTCCTGCAACACACACGTGGAATCGGTCCCCGCACCCATGGCCCACCAAGACTTCCATCTCTTCGGGGTCGGCAGGCAAATTAGTACCAGACTTGCCTGGGAAGATTGCAGCACCGGCTCCATACACCGGTAGGCCACCGATAGTCATTGTAAAGGCCAGATATGCATTTAATCACCTCCAAACGATGCTTAATGAAGTCGAACGCACGAAGCATCCCTCAGGGATTGATCAACGCCGGCAGCCCTATCCCTTTTATCCTTTTATTGGTTTCTTCTCAAGATTTATTAAATTAACATTTTTATAGGTTTTAACTCTAGGGTGAATCAACATCCTATTGGCGCCCTTTATTGTACAAGCGGAAAAGTGGACATAATGCCGCGGCAGGAGCTCGGAATATCACCACTTGAATCATCCCACAACAAAGACAAAGGAAAATCCGACAAGTAAGTGATGGGTGGTACACGAATTAAACGATAATCGAGAAAATCGCCGTTTTGAAGTATCTTCTGCTCCTATACTGCGCAACAAAAGCGACCTTTTCTTCATCGAATTGTGGAAGTGGGTTCTGCACGACAAATGGCGACATTCAGCTCAATGGCTAGATTGCAATCAGGCTCATAGTTTGGTGTTTGTTGTGCAGCCGGGCTGATTAAACACAGCTTTTTGAATCCGGGTGAAACGATTATGGCAGAGGAGTATTGCCAACAAATTGACGAAATGCACCGTAAACTCCAACAACAACGAGCGGCAGTATTCAACAGAAAATGGCCAATCTTTCTGCATGAGAACGCCGGTTCTCACGCTGTGGAACCAGCGCTGCAGAAGCTGAACGATTTGCGCTACGAAACTTTGTCTCACCCGCCATATTCATAAGACCTGTCGCCTACCGACTACCATTTCTTCAAGCACCTTGACAACCCCTCCTGGGCGGGAAATGCTTCACCAACCGCGACGACGCAAAAAAATGCCTTCAAGGAATTCATCGCTTCTAAAACTCTAAAAGCTTACGCAACTAGAATAAATAAACGTGCTACTTATTGGGACATGTGCTGATGCCAGCCTTTTTATTTACTGCCTTTTACTAGCTTTCACGGTAGGGAATTATTTGTGAAACAACCACAATGATGCTGAGATATTTGCAAAACTCCGGGCCGCAGCTGTCTGCGGTGGGGAACGAACACGCTACTGTCCTTTCCGGGGATTAACGCGCTCACCACCACACCATGCGGGTCATTCGTTTCGCCTGTCTCTCAGCTAGTTTTATCGACCACTGCCATCAGCAGTAGCCGTCAACGAGATTGATCTAGTGAGCCTAAAGCGGTGTTGAACCCAGTTAACCCGGAGTTTTGCAAATATCTCAGCATCATTGTGGTTGTTTCACAAAAATGTACTAATTCAAATGTGCTTATTTCGATTAATAGAAATTAGTATGAAAAAGATACGATTACTTAGAATTTACATTTAATATTGGACGTTCCATATGTTACAACCTAATACACAACTTAGGCTTTGTTTTGTAAGTGGAGAGATGAAGATTCATACCAACATAAAATTATCACGACGAGATGAAGACAGAGTTTCATGCCTAATTGCTTGTAGTTCCTATATATTATTGATCATTTTAACGAATATGCTCCTAAGGGAGGATTTTTTGGCATTCAGAGCTGCATAGATTGCTTTGTAATTGTTCCTATCGTTCAAAAATTTCTTCTTTAATATAATTCCACTGTGTGACGGAAGAATGCTACCACATTCGCGTTTTGAAACAGTCGGGATGCTTCTTAGAGGCATGGGTATTACTGCACACTGCATTCTAGCTATACAGCGAACAGTGACCACATTCCTCAAGTGGCTCAACGATAGCGATCCACTTAAGGAACGTCTGTGGCTTCTCATTGTGTAGAGATAGGAAAGCAAAAGCGATGTTGCAGCAGTTTAAATATTTTGCAATCTTGACGTTTTTGCTAGCATAAGTTTGTATCAATGATCCAAACGATGGATAGAAAAAAACTCTCTCAAAGGATGAATACATTAGTTGCACTAACCTTTTTCGAGCCACGGTGAGGTTGTACAGATACCGGAACGCCGTGTAGCTTAGTACGGTGCAGCCTTGTAATAGCATGCGGAACGCTTAATGTGGATTCAAATACAACGAACGCGAAGCGATAGGAGATCCTTTCGATCAATGTCACACTTTCAATTATTCCCACCTAAACACAGTGTATTAAAAATCAAACCACCACCAAGCAAATATTTCATGAGTTGGGTAAAGAAATATTTTGTCACACACGACATATTGCTAGCTTTAAGCTTCACAGAGGCAACGATGGTTCTCATTCACGAACAGCCAGACCATCCTGTCGAAACTTTGAACACATAAAGGACCATTCGTACACCATCACACGATCAATGCGCAATAATGGTCTAGTAAACGAAAATTCGCTATGGATGTCGTGCTAAGATAGAGAAGAGCACTGGATGTAAAAGAAAACTAAAGCATTTTGTGTTTCGTAGAGTTCATTCTAACAAACTTTCACCATAATGAGTAGTAAAGTTTGAATGTGGGTGCAAATATTAGAGGACAAACCCCTTTGAAAAATTCTTCTATTGTATCAGCTGTCACGAACGGTGGCAAATTGGAGACGTAACATGTGCGTTCGCGCACGCCTGACATCTGGGCTAAGGTAATTAAAAGATCACATAAGAACCTTTTAAGAAAGAAAATATCCATTACGCAAGTAACTGTTGGCATCGAACAATTACTACTAACAAATGCATTTGTATGAAATTCTTTATTAAAGCAAACCTACGACACATTCTAGAACAAACTTTGGCAAGCAGAGCAGAGTGAGAAAGACCCCACACAATTTGACGTAAATCGAACGGAATATTCCAATCACATATATTCATATATATGCATACACATAGGTATGTAGATGCACACGTAAATGCATACATATGCATACCATACACATATATACGTACATAAATATATATATATATGTATGTATGTATGTATGTACGTATGCATGTATGTATGTACGTTTGTATGTATGTATATGTATATACAGCAAACCTTGACACATACGAACCTATGGAGCTTCCAAGGACTAAGGACTTCCAAGAATACATGGCAACATTTTTAAAAAATGGGTTGGAAACATTTCACCTTAGAGCTGTACAACTGCAATCCCGAAACACCATTTCAGTTTGTTTAATGAGATTTAACAGGGTGCTAATTAGTAAAGTCAAAGTTCTTAACGCAGTTGTAGTAGCCAACTGCTTGAACACACACACACACACACCCACACACACACACACACACACACACACACACACACACACACACACACACACACACACACACACACAGCGACACACGTTTGGGACAGCATAGGTCATGAGCGATTAGGTAGGAGTTCAGCACGGAAAAGGAATGGCACATAACTCATTGCCCTCACGGATGTTTCATCTGACGTATGAAGTCTCCTGAAATAGCTTTCTAATCTAAAGGGACAATTCGCATAGAATATATGAATACACGTCGTACACGGCATCATCTGTGGAAAGCCATTTCTTCACATCTCAACTGAAAAAAGCAGTTATTGAGACAATTATTAAGCTTTTATACGAATCACGAAAGCGTCGTTATTCCTCGTACAGACGCAGCACCACGCATGCTACAGTTCTATTGTTTTAAAAAGACTATTGAGGTTTATGGTAACTAATCGATATGCTACCGAAAGCACACATTTTAGCACGTACTGAAGCCCGGAACGCGAAATCAAACGAGTACAGCCACACGAGGATTGAAATTTATGAAAGAAATGCATGAATTTTGTTCACTAGCAGATAAACGGCATTCTTATGATGAATAACTGTAATCTAAACACAATTAACAGATCATAACACAATCACAACTTAACATAACTATCGCTGCACCGCCTAATTTCGTACGGCAACCTCACGAGGCACTACGCGTGGTTTTCGCGAGCGCGTTGGAGGCTGGGATCCGACGGCGAGCTACTTTGCTGCAGGAGATGGTCAAATTTGCCGCGCTTCTTGATCTACAACTCACTTTCCTGCTCATTTTTCGTAATTTTTGGGCTTTTCTTTGCGCTATACATCGTATGCGCCCTTATACGATTTTTTCCATAGTTTTAGAATATATCTAACTTTTGTCTCTAACGAAAAATAAAGCTCGACCGTAGTTTAATCACACAGAGAACGGTAATAGATTATTTAGAAAAATTTAGTGTGGGATAAAAGAACAGTTAGGTATCGCTGTAAAGATATCAATGCAGCATTCTGTGCTATATATCTTACACGGTCTTCTAAGCAGGAATCGCGCCGTGTCGCTCTAGACGAAATCCCAAAAAGATGTTTCCATCCTAGAGGATTCTACTTTGAAAATTGAAAGTTGTACCGAGTCCGGTTAAACATGAGCGACATACGACTTAATGTAGGAAATAAGTTAACAACGAAGTAAACACAAGAAAATGGTAGTGATCAAAAGTAGTATCACAATCTCTAGTGAGAAAGAAAGCGTCTTCCCACGGCTTTTCGGCGACTCTATTCGGGTTTCCAAAAGCTTCCTCGTTGGAGGTTGGTCCATTACCTCCACAATAGAGTGGCTCGTCGGCATGTTGGTCACGTTATATAAGTCCTCTTTCTTAAAAGAAGCTGCTAACCTGTAGGAGGAAAGTCGTAATAAAGCCATGCTTTCCAAAGAACTAATCTCAAAAAATTTGTTAAGATAGTGTACAATCGTTTTAGCGTAAACTTGTTGCTGTTAAGAATTCAGCTAACTTACTTCTTCTTTCGACTTTTTTACACCTATTGTCTTCGAGATCTCTTGCTCGCATTTCATTCTGGAGTTCATGTAAATGACATTTTAGTAGACGAAAGCCCTTGCGGATAGCCACTCCAGCAAATCCAGGAGAAGATAACTGCAAACCATAATAAAATGTAAAACTACTCTTATAGCCCAAATGATTAAAAAGTTTTTATCACTCGACGAAGTTCTAAAATGACTGGGAAGAAAGACCGCTAATGCGATGCTTAGAAAAAAACAATAACAATGATTGCCGACAACCGAACTCGTTCATAAAGGGATTATTCGATGACTTATCGGATAGCCTTATCGTATCAAGCATCTACTGGATTTCATAATGCTAGCGTTCTATGGCCTTTTTCGAGAAGAAGTTAACAAAACAAGCATCTTATTAGCATATGACGCTGTTCACCAGTAGAAGACTTTTACCATAACTGTAAGCGTTGAATTCACAGTGGTTTTTCACAAAAACATTTTCATATTGATCAAATAGAATGAAAAACGAAGTGGAAGTCTCGTTTGTGTTTTACTGCCGAAATGGTTGTGACTTACAAGTTTGAATCTAACCGATTTTCACAGAGTTCAGATGGACATGTAAAAGGGGTTATGGGTGGACTCCGATCTCTTTCATTGACAGGACCATTACTTTTGGGGACTGGCCTGCTTGGAACAAGTGTTGCCAAATGTTGAAAATAAGGACATCTGGTATCAGCTGGGCATGGTTTCGTTTCTGAGGAAAAGCAATCACAGGCAGAACTCATTGGACAGAGCCTCATTTGAAAAATAGAAGCATGAATTCTGCCAACATATTCACATAAGTGCTGTAGTACTGTTGTCCTAGTGCGTTCACGACGAAATTAGAAGGAAGAGATTTAAAAAAACAGACATGTAAAATCACAAAAATATAGAATCTTCAAAAGTCGAAGGACCAGATTCGGCGTCCGCTTCTCGACAAACGGCCGGTGGGGCTTCGAGAACTTTCATCGTATGTCCACTTCCAGTGCGATCACAGGTTAACTCGCGAAATTCAAATTCTTAGGAGGAGCCTTCATCACGGAGTTCACGCCATCACATGAAAGGTGCTTAGCGACCATCTCTATTAATGTCGCTGCGTGGTCTAATCGTCGCTTCGATGATGAGATTCTTTCCTGAATTGGAAATTAAATCACCACGTGCAATGTGGACACATACTTGGTGCAATTCCTCATAGATTTGCCAATTACTACTTACCTAAGTTCACCTATGTAGAAACGTTATTAGGCGATTTTCCTAAGCAATATGGTGTGCTTCCTTAACAAATTGGATAGGATTTGATGCCAACAGAGTGTTCAAAATAGAGCTGACTCCATGGATTTCATTTCGCAATTTTTCTATAGAGCACCTTAATCAATTTTAATCTGGCCTGAAAATCTACTTTCAACGCGCTACCAAGGTGGAGGAAATTCTATGAGAGCTTTACTCAAATACTTCTCGTTTCTCCAATGACATATTAGGAAACCACTCATGTGCTCATTTTAGGCGAATTTATCTTCTAGACTTCAAATCAAGGCTACAAGCAAACAAGAGTGGCGCAAGTCAAACTTGTTATTTACACGTCTAAACTCATTCCATAAGTTTTACTCGTGGTGATTTTTCCTCAGAAACGTAACCGTGGCTAGCTGGTGAGGATCGAGGTATGTTTGTTTCGGAATCCTTTGTTCTAAGCAGTCAAGATGCCGGCAATAGTATTTTTAGCATCGACACCCAGTTCCACAAAAACATTTATTCGGAACATGGCAGCAGTTTGAATAATTCGAATGTGGTGCTTCTGGTGTAGCTAAAGAGTTTCTGGCTCTTAACAAACACCGCGCCGGAAATGTTCGTTGTCATTTCCTGTTTTCTTGTTGACCACATACAAGACTGTTAGTCTTCTCTTTGTTAATGGTAGCTTACGTTTAGAGAGGATTGAGCCCACTTCATGGCTTGGAGAATTGAGGTTGTCTGCAACATATTCAGCGAAACACGTCCATAACCTCAACAGAAAAGCCAAGAAGTTTAAATTTCGATTGCATTAGAGAAAAAGAAAAGCCTCTTCACACACTCACCGCTTTCAATGAGTCTTCCGGTGAATATGACAGATGAACACCAGCCGCACTGAGTTCACACGGATAAGCAATGCACCACTCTTACGTTAAGATATCAATCTAAGATAATGTCTCCGATCACGAGTGGTAATGAGGCATTCCTCTGAGTTTCATTTTTGGATCCTTGGAAACGCTTCGCGAGTTTTACCCGCTGAAGTTTTAGAATTCTATACTAGAATGGTGCCTTCTTCTTCGAAATCCTCATACTTCTATCCTTGTGTTCAATGTGGACCTAGTGTATTGTTGTAAATGCTTTCGGAATCTCTTTCGTGTTCTTCCCACTATTGTCTCATTCCACTGCGACCCTAGTGAAAGCAGTAACATTTTTAGGTTCTCTTTCCATTTGTTGTTGGTATTTCTATATGAGCATTTACATTTCTGTTGGGAAGTTTTCTTTTTATTAAGGAAAGTTTTACGTCTTCATCGGCCAGAAAAATTGTTGGAGACGGTAGCACCAGACTGCTGCACTCCTCGTGCGAACTACTTCCAAGTCAGCTTGGTGCTAACACCTATAATTGATGGTGAAATCGCAATCTGTGAAAGCATCGTTGTTCAGAAGTGGACATTTTCGTCAGCACACTAATTTCTATCTACCTTGCGATATCAACAAAATTCGCTGTGTTCGTTTTCTTCCATTAGGGATTTTCACAATTTTACCTTGTTTCCACGCTTATGTTCTTTCTTCTTTGTTTACACCATTGTTTTACTGTTATATTT